TGATATTCAGATCAATGTGTCGGAATTTGCCTTGAGGATTCTGTGCATTGGCTGACTTAGTGTAGTATGGGTAGGAAATCAAGGTCGGTTGTCGTCGAATCATTAGGTAGAACAGGTAGTATTCCAAGTCCCCTCGAATCAATCCTTGGAACAAGGAATGATACATGATTCTCCCCCATCCCAAATTCGATCGTCCATTGATCCTTCGCACATGGTAGTCGTACATTCGATACTCTTCATCCAGTATGTGGACTAACTCTGGGTCTTCGAACACCCATGAGAAGCAGTCGAACGTAAAATTGCCTGTTATCGCAATGAATGGAGAGCTTCCACATGCGCTTTAGGTAATATCTTCTGCAATCGGTTGAAATCTTCCTCAGAGAACTGGGTCGGGATCCTCAGTAGTGCGCATTGCTACATTAGGTTGCGGCGACAGGTTCACCGATGGGGATCGTCGAGAACCTTTCTTCATTGGCGTCACCACCCCAGTTGGCAATACCCCCTCCATTGCATCAATTTCTTCTTCATTCATAGTTGACAGAATCGATGAGGCACGAGAAGAAGGCGATGCCGCTGACGGAGATCGTAGTTCTCTGATCTTCTGTTGCATTGCTGGTGGTAAAACAAATCCTTTGTCTGCTTCTGGTAATAGTAATCCAGTATCCGCATTAACGACAAAACCGTTTTCCTTGGCCCATATAGTGGGAATGTGCTTTGCTGCCGTTGCTGCATGTTGTTCATGAAACTTCCTACGCTCGTTCTCCCGATCACTAGCATGCAGAGTTTCTTTTGCAAAGTGCTTGCCAAAGTATTGTCGAACCACTGATTCCAGTCGGATGAAATCTGCCCCAGTTATCCATCGTTCCTTTGACTGTCCCCTAGTTGGATAAACGATTCTTGAATAGAAAGCCGCGTTGACAATGTTTATGCAGAGATCCCACGGAACCCTCTTAGCTATAATTGCCAATCGAGTAATGCTTGTCCGTCCACTCCAACCATTTGGCTGATAGACCCCAAAGACCTTGTCTCGAAGTGATTCCCCGATCTTACCCCAGTTGTCCACGACTGCCTTTTGTGCTGCACCTATCTCTTTCAATTGTTTGTCCTTGTAAATCTTGACATCTGCAATGAACGAGTGCTTCTCTCGCCACAAGCGTCGCCCTTCTTCTTCATCTCCATTGCCATGAGCTTCCATCGCAGCACTGTCATTCTGCACATGGTTGTTGAATGCCATAACCACGTTCATTGTCTCGAAGACGAACTGCCCAAGTAATTCCATTTGCTGGTTGTAGTAATCAACTCTGGCAGCTGGCCCCATTTCTCGAGCGACGTTGACTGCTTCGAGAACGGTAAGGTTGCTGACCCATGGTAGTTGGAAGTTGCGGTACTGCTGTAGTTCACCACCTCGATCTTTCAATTACCACTCCTGGTTGCCATTCTACCGAGCCGCTCGCTGGTTCGGTGCCAGCACGTCTAGGTGTACTGGGAGTAAGAGGAGGAGGTACATTTGATCGTGATCTTAATGCTCGTGGGGTTGATGGTGTCGATGGTGGTTGGTTTGACGCCATCGCTTCTTGGTTCGATTCGTGTTTTCAAGAAAGGGAATAGAGAACTCAGTTTCCTGGAGGCGGGTGGGGGGATTATATCTGCCTGTCTCACCGCGTTTTCCACTCTTGATTGTTGAACAACCCACCGCCTTTCGTTTGTATTCCTACTTCACTTTTTTCGACGCTTCTCTTCTTTACTGGTCTGTCGCGCCCACCACCGCCATATAGACCCGCTTTTTGCAAATGCCGGTGTGGTTAATTGGCCATTACTGTTGATTGGCTGTTCGCACTGACGACCAGCAACAACTATTCCCTTCATCATTTCTTTCTATCGTTCTTCTTGGGTTTTTCGCGACCATTTATATTAGTATTGGTGGTCGCGTTGCGTCGTCCAATAGGGATTTGGCAGGGTAGTCGGTTAGCGGTACCCTGTGAAATCTGATTGGCTAGGCGCGTCGGCGTTTTCTCGGTTAATCCTCTTCCACCTTAAGAACGTTGCACAGAGTTTCGATCGACATATCCCTCTATAGACAGCACCATTCCTCCCTAGGTTTAAAAGAGTCGTCCCTTGGCTCTTAGTCGTTTGATTCTGCATCTGATTCGGCATGGAATGTTTGATATTGAGAAAGATCTATGCTGTGGTCCGGGATGATAACCTTCGGGTGTCGATTATTAGGATGGTTCTCTGTGAGAGTGTCCAGTTGCTGTTCCTGAATGTCTGCTGAAGAATATTGATCATATGTTTCTGGGTTTGAGCGTTGCTTATGTGCTTTTCGTTGCAGTGCCAATTCGAGCATTCCTCTATCAATATCTGCCATGTCCTGAACGCTTCGTTGAAAGAATTTCTTTAACTTGTATCCTGGTGTAGTGTGTCGAAAGGTTGCTCCATCCAGATCCTCTAATTGGTAATACCCTTTGTCCTGATATGCAGCTCGAATTCGATATGGCCCTAACCATCGTCGGTGAAGTTTCTTTGCTTTGGACATGTCAATCTCTTTCAAGGAATCCCATAGCAAGACAAGATCCCTATTGCTAAGTGTATCATGATTGATTTCCTTAGTAGAATCCCAATACTCTTTGCTTTGTTGTCGTAGTCTTCTTGTTCTTGCAATTGCTTCCTCAACATTCTTGTCCCTTAAGTCTAATTGCATAGCGCGAATCCTTAGTAAATCTTCCCTTGTTTTGACATTGGTATATGGTAATGTCTGCCAGGTTGGCATGCTAAGTTCTATTGGTAGAACTGGGTTTTGCCCAGTAATCAATACTACAGGTGCATATCCTGTAGGGTTGTGTATTGAGCACCTGTCGGACCA